GAAATTCAGTTGATAAGACAACTCTCAGTGCCTTTGGGCAAGGCATTTTCTCCTGATAGGTCTGTATGGCAGAAAGCGTAAAAAGTCAGTTATTCGTGGGCGAGCATTCCACTTCCAGTCCAAGAACAAGCTGAGGTACTTACACTGCACAAACGAACTGTCCATGTCTTCCAGCTTCAAAGAGCTGGAGAGATTGGCAATTTCTTGCACCTGTGAAAAGGGAAGAGTTTTTGGGTGTTTTAAAGCTAGTGCGGAAAACAAAAATAATGAGGACTGCAAGAGAATTTTAAACAATTACTGGTTTTGGAATGAAATAGCTCAAAACCAGGATAATATTAGTTGAATTGACAGGAAAGTGACAGTCCTATGAGTCTGAGGAGAACAGGTCCTGGTGGGACTCAGAGGGGGATTGGGTTATCTTCTTTCTTAGGAGTTGCCTTCTCACAGCAGATGCATGATTTTGGACTTGAGTGAACATGTGAGCATTTGTAAATTTGAAGATCTTAAAACAGTAAGCCAAAATAACTTTACAAAATGTATTGCCTTATGTGATCAAACTTCATGGCATATCTCATAGCAGGATAAATCTCCCCTACTTTATGTCTGATTCCCAATGAACAGATGAAACCTACTCTGTGAGGCAGGGGCCCAGTGACCCTTCCTTTATCTTTCCTCTTGTGTTTTCTCTTAATTAGCACTGGATAGCCAGTCCTAGATAATTCAATGTGATACTTCCCTTGACTTACCCTCTTCCTTATTTTATCCCACAGTCCTCCAACCCTGTTCAACGTCATAGCTCTTTGAGTTTAGGTGGGACAGACAGTGAAGATGAACAGGTAAATAGCTACTTTTCCTGCTAATAAACTTTACTGAGACAGCATGTGTGGTGTCTGTATGGAGCCAGTAAATAGTCTTTTTAAAAAAATCTATTCTGCGTACAGTGTATCCTAGCAAACAATTCATAAACAGTCCAGAGTGAGCAAATGATACTGAAAATGTACCGCTCAGAGTTTTGAATAAGAACCAAATAAAGAGAGGCAGAAATCTACTGGTAAGTGGTTTGTGTGAACAGCACAGTCAGCTCTGTGACACAATATGAATCTGTAAAGTTGCACAACGGAAAATTGGACAAGGCAAAGCACATCAATTCCATTCCATGTCCCAGGGCCCCAGTACCCAACAGCAGTAATAGCTTAATAACACCTGCCCATCAGTAGTAGCTTGTGAGCAATGCCCTGCACCTCTCTCATGTTGGGAAATAAGTGCAGGATCAGCCCTTTCTGACACCAGGTATTCCACAGGAAAAGGTCTGTGTTGATTTGCAATTTTCTTTGAATGATAAGGGACCATCAGAAGCAGCAGATTCTCCTGTCAGACCAAAAGAGTCTATTCCTTGACTAGCTTGGAAAAATTTACAGGTCATATTTTTGGAAAGGAGCCTAGGGGACCTTCACCTTGATTGTCCCTGCTGCCTGAAACTGGGTTGAGTTCCTGCCCATCTCACGCTTTCAAGACAGACCTGCAAGGTTTGCTTATATTGCCTTTCTCCAGTGTTAATGTAATGTCTGAAAGACCAGTCAGACCACAGTTATGCCAACAGAGTCTTCAAATGCCAGTGACAAAGGCAGCCACCACTCCAAGAGAGCCGATTTGATTCCTGGGATAGCCCTTGCAATTGTATAAACAAAGTAATCTGCCATTTAGCTGAGAAGGGGAATATTTATGGGTCCAGAACAGCTACACGCCATTTTGGCCCGAGCTTTGCAGTTCTGTCTAGAGAATCCCTGTTTGAGAAGCTCACCAGAGAGAACACAATTTAACCCTTTGTGAAACTGAGAATAGCCCACAAGTAAAGGGGAGGTAGCAGGGTACCTAGAAGGTTCCTTCCTGATGAAGAGGGCCTTAAGCAGCCAGGGCAGCATCTTGACGGTCAAACAGTTAATGCCAACCCTGCTGCTAAGGCAGCTTTCCCTTTCAGTCTGTCTTTGGCCAGCCCTTGAGAAGGGAAAAAGCAACCTTTGCGCAAGACCATCTCAACTTCCCTGTCCATGGTTGAGATCAGACACTCTCCTGCTCAGTCATTCCTAGATCTTTTGCTTTAGGGATAGAAAGGTAAAGCAATGTCTCCCCCTCGTAGCAGACACTAGTCACACAACTTTAGAGGCTCAAGTGATCTGGGTGTCTTGGATTGTCATTGTTTTGAATAACTTCTTGTATATTATCTTTACTTCAATGTACATTTTATTAACATATCTCCCATTCTACATTCTGACTAAAATGCTCCACTTTGTAAGCCTGCATACTGTTTTTTCCTTACAATGCAAAAAGCCCTTTTCTATCCAGTTCTGAAGTCTTTGAGCTCATTCAGTCTTACAACCTCATCTCCTATAAGACAGACAGGCAGGGACAGGAGAAATATTTTTCTCTCTTCTATATTGCCCAGAATACCCCACTTAAAGGCTCTTCCTTTTTCTCCCCAACTCATTAGGAATCTGGCTAGCTTCTCTACAGTACCATGTGCATTCCTTTACCCAAATATTTTTCTTAGTCAGCAGTTTGACTTAGCAGAAATCTTGCCAATATGTTTATCTAAAATAAAAAGCCTTTTCCTAAATAATCATAATTTTTTTCAGTAGCTTTTGAAACTCTTTATGTAATACCAGGATTTGAGCTAACAGAACACAAATTGTTAAACTGAATAACCTCATCCCAAAGATGAGGACAATCGTGAAAAGCACCAAGAAAGCTACACCAGTTATTCCATTTAAGTGTTGTATATTTAGTAAAGGAAAAAGAGGATTTGAGCCTAAGCAATCTGAAGTTACACACAGTGTAGTGGTTTACATTTTATTATTGTATTGATCTTGCTGCAGATGATAGTTATTCGTTTCTTTGCCCTGTGCTGCTTCACTGGGCTTTCCCAGAGCTTCATGCTGCTGTCACCTCTGTGTGAAACCCATGTAACTTCTCAGTGCCTTCCACATTTATAAAGACCCACTTTCTGACTAATCTAAAGCTTAATGTGAGGCTGTTGCTCAAAGCGAGCAGCAAGTGACTTCACAGAGACAATAACCAGCATTACCCTGCATTTGCCCGATAACCTTTATGAAAATCCAACTTCCTTGTTGGCATCTTCAACCCGGACTGATTAAAAGCAGAACAGGGTCTCAGCTTGTGGGGCTGAGGACAGTGTTTTGGCACAAACACTCTGTAGGAAATGAGCCTCCTAGCTGCAGCATTCTCGTTGTGTAGGCTCCTGCATCTGCCCAATAACCAACAAACACCAAATTTATCTTACACTTAAACACTGATGTGGAAATCTTGTGTCTGCTCCAGTGTCTTTGAGAAAAGATACTAACTGTCAATGCTCAGAGAAAAAAATGTCCTGAATCCTCAGTGGAGTATGGAATTTGCCATTCAGGTACAACAGTAGCTCAGAACTAACTTCAGGTGGTTTTATATTTAATAAACACAACTGTAATTTTCCAATTGAAAGGCAGAAGAACTTGTATGTAAGTTCTAGTGATCCTTACAGGTTTATCATTAATCTTCTGGAATTATAACAATAGTTAGCTTATTTACTAGCTGTGTTCTTCTTTCTCTCTTTCAAAATGTGTAAATTTTTCATGAGAAGAGTCTATATCTGTCATAATACATTCTGTTGTGGTTTATTTCAGATCTCGGGACTAAAAAAATTCAATGGAGAATAAGGAAATTAATTTTAGCTACCTTAAACACAAAGCAATGTACTTAGATAATTTTTGTAGGTCAGATGGGAAGATGTTTTCATTGTCTTTAAAACTTCATCAGCATACATGTTTTAAATGCTGTGTTATATCCTAAGCTTAAACAAAACTAAAATCTGAATGCCAAGCAGAGTTAAATGGCTGTGCTTCACCTAGCTTTATGGCCAAAGCCAAAATAGCAGGTATGTTACACGGAATGAAGCTTGTTTGGCATGTCTGTGAAATTTTGCAAGTGTTCCAGAAACTCTAGGCTACATTTCAAAACAGTAACAAAACCAGTCAAACTGCATGTTTAGGGGTTTCTCTACAAACACTTCTGTAAACCCTTTATTTTGATAGCATAATCTAAGGTTAATGCTGTTTAGTTCCCCAGAGCAGCATTGCTGAGAGCGTGAGATCCACATCACTGTCTGGAAGATGGTTCTGGGATACTTGTTGGAGAGAAGCATTTGATTTTCCTGGGAGAGTGCACATTGAAAGAGCAAAGTGGCTATGTTAACTTTCTTAGAAATAGAGATAATGAGGAGCAAGCATCCATGGTACTTTTGTGGCTTTTTAATAACATATTCCTGCATTGTGTCACATGATGATCCTTGAGGTCTCTTCCAACCATAACGATTCTATGATTATTGGGATGAAAAGGCAGCTATAAAAACTGCACCAGTGTCTCCTGCTGGTGCATACATATATTGCAAATGGTTTTTCAGATAAGAACTGGGAAAGGAACAAGCTGAGGCTCTTACTGTGGGAGAGGGAGAGACAGGTATTTCTCACTTTTGTGTAACATACAGCTGAACATACAGAATTGATAATCTTGTAGGCATGCATTTTAAAGTGAGGATTTGTGTCCAAAAATACAGCCATTTCAGGCTTCTGAAATGGAATAAGCTAGCAAAGGAATTGTTTCAGAGATGTGGGGAAGCCAAGCTAAATGTATAGCGACGTGTTTGTGTTTTACAGATACCTTCTGGATCTTCCTCCAGGCCCATCAGTCCTTCATCCTCTGCCACTCTGGGGACCTCCGGCTTACAAGGCAGCAACATCCTTCCTGTTGACTTCACCATCCCTGCCAGTCCCTTGGGCTGCCTGGACACCTCAGCAGCCAGGCACAGGATTGCCATAAATCCCCGGAAACAGAAAGGCTTTACCAGCAAGAATCAGCAAATGCCCCAGGTAAGTGTTTTCTGGAAAAGAATCAGTGTGCAGAAGGAAATGGATGTGAATTTTTAATTATTGTTTTAGATTTTTTTTTTCTTTCCTATTGACATTCCTTCACTTTTTTTGTTCCTCCATTGGAAGAAGGGAAACCACCTATTTTCCACCAACCAACCAACCATAAAAGACTCAGAAAACTTCAATACCATGGGAGCTGAAGAAAAGTGCAACTTTGTTTTTTCATTATTTAGCCAAAAAAGTTGTGGGTTACACTTCACTTGTTAAAACATTCCTGTTGTTTGAAAAGCTAGGTTTCAGTTTTAAAGAAGTCTAAGTCTATTTCTACCAACATTTTCAAATTAGCTTTAACTTAATTCTTTGTGTGTCAAAGGAAAGACTGAAGGATGTTGAGAAAGAATGTGGCCCTGCATGTGAGAAATTAGGATGAGATGCTTCTCATCCTGGCTTCCAGGAAACACATTGCGAAGATGAAGTTCACCAGATAAAAAAGGTTGTTGAGCTCGAGTGTAACAGAAATAAGGAGTAACTCTCCTCTACTGCGTGTTCCCCTCTCCATCAGAGAATCATGCATGAAAATCTATCCTGGAGTTAGAAGTGCCTTGCTCTGAGAAAGTGGGAGGCAGACATTCAGGATAAGTGTAATACAGAATGAGGTTTTCTTGGAAATTTGGGCCCTACAACTTCTTTGCTGGATATTCTTTATGTTGCAGCTGGTACAGCTACAGTGCTGAAGGAGAAAAGCTAATTATGGAGTGTCAATCAGAGATACCAGAAGTGATGATAATGTCTCTGGCTTGGTCTGTTCTATGCCACCAGGTAGTTTGGGTAATGTCTTAAAAGCATACTCGTTCACTCAGCATATGTCAGTCCCAGAATGTTTCAGATTCAAGAGACATCAGTGGGCTGCCTTTGACATTTTAAATATGAATGATTTCTAGGTTCTTAACTGGAATAGTATGTTACACACAGTGTTGGTAAATTACAGGATGGGGGTTTTGTGTCTGTATTTTGAGTATTCGTAAACATGTGTGTGTATAAAATACAATTTTTGTCATTATTCTTTAATTAAAAGATCTTACTGCACCTCGTTAGGTGGAACAGCTGGAAAATGAAGCATGTCTTCCTGCAGCTCCAGAAGAGAACAGAAATTCAACAGAATTACTTGAGAGTGACCAGCATAAAAGCAATTGGGAAGGTAATGAAGACTTAACATATTGCTACTTTGGGTACTTGAACTCTTCTACATAAGGCTGACAGGACCTATCTGAATTTTAAGTCCTTTCAAACTAGGCATCTTTTGGTTTTATATCGTAAAACCAATCCTGGCTGCTAAAGTGATGTGACAGAAAAAGTCATGTACTCAGCACAGTCGTGCTGAAATGGTGAACTTTGAGGGCAGCATTAAAAATACATGAAGCGAAAGTACCATGTTCAGAAGTACCTGTGCTATGCAGTTGGCTAGATCTCATTGACTGGTGATCCGAGTTGACACTGAGAAAAACCTTAACTCAGCATTATGTGTGTTACATGTGTAAGGTGACTTTAGCTGGCTTGTGTTTAGGTCTTCCTTTGCCATCTCCCTCCTAATCATTTAAATAATAGCTAATTGCCAGTGGTAACACAATTGTAATTGTAAATTGTAAAAACAAATTAAATCTCTCCAAAAGAGCACTGAAGACTTCTCTTTAGCACTGCATTACAAATGCACTGGATGATGGTAATGCTATAGCATAGTGGGAATGCTGGCAGTTTGTTGTCAGGGCAGACTCAGGACCTGATGCTGTCACACATCAGAGTTACTGTGTGTGCAGACACATCTAAGCTATCCAGATGTTCAGCAGCCCTGCTGGAGCTGCAGGAGGCAGAGCTACCTGATGCCGAGATGTTCTGCTTAAATACAGAAAATCCTCCAGATCATTCTAAACAGCCTTTCTAGGCATACACATGGAGAAATGTCTAGAGAAATTTGGCTAGTGGTCTTACAGCTAGCGGTACGCACAGAAAAGAACTAAATGGCAACTGATCTGGTACACCTTAAGCAGACAACAAATTTCATCATTCCTGGGAATAATTATGTTCAAAATAAAAACTTTGTTAGTCTTCTCACTTGGACAGCCCATTTCTAAATACACTTCTAATAGCCTTATTTATGAGACAACAGTGCCCAGACATGGAAACTCATGCTAAATGACTGCACTATCTGGAATGAATTGCTGATACAGACGGTGCTTGAATTGTAACTTAAGTGCACATTCTTCTCCTCTGTTTAATATAGGGTTATCAGCCCAGGTGGGATATTGTGCAAAGGGAGGCGGTTCTAAGGAGGCATCAGGTATAAAATGTCCCACTGATGCTGCCCTTGACTCTCGTGATTCCACACATGTGGCAGAAGACTCTTGTGCTTTGCTGCAAGAGGATGCATGCCTTCCAGACATGGACCATGACTGTAAAGCAGCTGCACCCATTCTGAGAACTGAGCCTTCCCCAGTGAACCTGGAGGAACACCACAGTACAAAAGTGTTGTACTGTTCAGATGAGTCTGCTGATGAATTGAAATTACATCAGCAAAATACCAATACTGAAGTATCTGCACTTCCAAAACTGCAACAAGTTGAAGGAGAAGCTGTTGGGTTTCCAGACATGCTAGCAGTGGACTTGTTTAGCAATAGTGTGGAAACAGAGGGCATAGATACACTGGCAGATGTTGCACAAAAGTCCTCAGTAAATTCTGTGGACCCAAACATCAAAGACCAGGAAAAGGGGGATCTACTGTTTATTGGTAAAGTAGAAGCCTGCTTGGGTACTACTGAGAATTGTTCCAACCATGCTGTCTCAGATACTGTACCAAGCACTTCACAGGTTCCAGTAGCCGATTCAGAATCTTCTTCTGACATCAAGACAGTGGCTGTTTTGAAGCCTGAAAACAGCTCAGTAATAAGAAATGACAAAGAAAGTTGTGAAGTAGTGGAATTTCAGTCATCTAAAGGCAATGCAGAAAAAAAAGTAGACACTGCTGCAACTGGCTCAGAAGCAGGTTGCATGCTACCTCCCAGTGAATTGGAAGTTTGTTTTAAAGCAGAAACTGTTTCTGTTTCGAAGGGTAACCAAGGCAGTCAACGGGCCAACACATCATACATTTCTGAAAAACTTTCCATTGGATGTCTTGCCTCTTCAAGTTTGGCTGGCTTGAAGAGTAATATCTCTTATGATGATGACAATAAGGAGCACCAGATAAGCAGTACAGCGTCTCACAGAAAAACAGTGGAAGACAGTCGAACTTCAGATGAAAATGTAAAAAGTCCACTGAAGACTGCTTCTGCTAAACCAGTCAGATTTACCATTGCACCAGCGTGGCAAAGATCTCTCTCAGGGGGTTCAAATTCAAAGGAAGATTCCTATACCAGAAGTTCCCCAACATCTCCTATAAGACCAGAGTTGTTTGAAGGAATGACAAAAGAACATATGCGTTCTGATGCAGTCATCCAGGAATCAGCAAAAACCAACTCAGATAGATTTGATCGAGATTGTAAGGACAGTGATTTGCATTTGAATTCTTCTATGGAGTGGGCTGACCATGAAGCACAAAATGTTGAAAACCCGTTTGGGGTCAGACTAAGGAGAACATCTTCTTTACTAAAATACCAGAATGAAAGCCGTGCTGAGTCTCCAAAGCTGATCCCCTCAGCTGTTCCCACTGCTGCTTCTGCTTCAGTCAAGGAGGATCAGAAATTGGTGGGCACTGGGAAGCCACCTCCAGGTCTTCCTGTCAGCACAAAATCATTTGTTAAAAAACCAGATCTCCTAGAAGACAAAAATCCTCCCAAGACAAGATCAGAGGAGGTGGCAAAGAAGCAAAATGGGCATAAACCTTCAGGTATTTACGCTGTTTTATCCAAACATTGCAGAGAACAGTAGTCATGTAAGAACCTTGGCAGAGTGGCAAACAAAAGATAATCCTCTTGACAAGGACCAAATTCAGCCTTGAGTTCGTCAGCACCATAGTTTAATTGGCTTGATGATTTGGCCAGTTAAGAGAATTCTTGGTTTATCTTAATGAGGGGTATGTTCCAGCAAGAATAACAACAGACTAATAGCTTAAGGGCCTCTGAAACATTTCTGGTACGACCTACTTGTACATAAAGTTGGAGTTTTAACACAGTTTTTAAAAACTTGCTGCTGTTTTGTAGTTAATTTTCCAGACTGCAGCAACTCAAACCTTAACTAGGAGTCACATTAGGTGTGATTATTTTTTTTTCTACAGTCACTTCATTTAAAATATTTAAAAAGTGAAAAGGCAGCCTGTATTTTACTGCCTACATGAAAAAATAATGTTTATCATACTCATTTAATCTGCAGTGTCAGGATGTTGTTTCAAAGGCAAAATCCGGTTCACAATGATCTCAGTGGGAGTTTTGCCATTGACTTAAACGGAAGCAGAGTCAGGTCAAAAATTCCAGAATAAACAGAAAAACAGTTATTGCCAAGGACAAAATCATCAGGGAAGGTAATTTTATCTCGTCAGTGTTCAAAGGGTATTACAGATGTGAAAACACAAAACACTAGCTTGAGACTGACTTGACCTAAATCCTTTCTTTACTTCAAAAATGCTTCTTTTGTAGAAAAAGTCTCCTCTTCACATTTGGAAACTGCTTCCTCTGAACCAGCTTGGGTCTCCATGGCAAAACTAAAACAAAAGGGTTTTCAGGACCACCTTCTTGCCAAAGAACATGAAGCTGAAGACAAAGCTTTGACCAAGGTCAATCAAGAGGAGGTAGAGTACCAAGTAATGTTGCATGGGTGTGAATCCTGCACCAGATTGCCTGGGTACTTTTGCAAACATTCAATATCATCTTCATGGGAGGCATGTTGTGAGCACTACTCAAAGAGAGATTTTTAGGACTGGCCTCTAAAATGTGTTGACACAGACAACTGATGCAAGTGAGCAAACACATGTGTGACTATACTGTCCCATTGATTAGTTTCAGAGCTATATGTTCCTTTGCACTACTCAAACCTAAACGTTTTCAGAGCTTGCCTGTTGCCCAGAATGTATTTATGTAGCCCAAGTGCTGCTTTGAGTTGTACTAGCTTCCTCAGTGTCAGCGACCCACAGACTGTGTTCACTGCTCTGCTCTGGAGACTGTGTACTGAAAGTTTGGCTCTTCCACTGACTCTTGCACAAGTTTCTTTTGCAGTTTGGGCAAGTTCTTCAATTTCCCACCTGTAAGAGAGAGAGGATAACTTGCCTGCATGTGAAGTAACCCTGTATTTGTAGCAGCTATCTTCCTTCTTGCTGTCTCCCTCCTTCCCACAGGATGTCCCCCAACCATCCTTGTCTGGCTTTTTCTGCATTTCTTAGTGGCATTCTTCTCTCCTCCTTTTGTAGCAAGGGATCTGTGCTAGTGAGAAAGTACTGAAGAAGAATATGCCTTCCAGCTTGAGCTCTCAGGACAAGAAAACGCAAATGAAGAGCAGTGTGTCTGCTGCAGCAGGTATTCTTTTTCTTTACATCTTTACATAGTGGCTACAGTTAAAGTCAGTAAGTGGTGTGGGTGGCAGGTAATGGGGGGAGGTAGCTACCTTTTTGAGAATCAGCACACTTTATATAAGACCTGTTCAGACTATAGTTTGCATATAAGTCAGTGTATTGGCTTGCTCACTCAGCAGAGAAAGCAAGTGAGGAACTTTTATCTCCACTGCCAGTTCATGGAATGCATATAAACAGTATGATGATTTATTACTGGCAAAGGTCAGTACTGAAAAAAAGCAGTTCAAGTTGGAGAATGTCCAGAAGAGAGCAGCAAAAAATATCAGGTCTTCTAGACCTCCAGTCAGCCAGGAAATACTGATGGGGGTGGAGTTGTTTAGTCTAGAGAAGACAACTTAATTTGCTTCAGAGGACAAGACTAGTCTTTATGCCCTGTATGAGCTTAAAATGCACCAGAGGAGGTTTAGCTTAGACATTAGGAAATACTTTCTAACAGTAAGAGTGGTGAAGTGTGAAATAGCATAGGTTGCTTACAGAGCGAGTGCAGTTTCCATTTCTGGATGTGTTTAATAGATAAACATGTATTAAGAATGATTTAGGTAGAGTCAGTTCCACCCTCAGGTGAACACAGAGGTTCAGTGGCCCCTCTCCTGCCCTGTTAGCTGTGATTCGCTGTAAGAAAGATGCAGGGGAAGAGTGTCACTCAGACATTGTGACTCGCATACGTCTTCCAAGGCTACTGCTGGGCTCCAGCTTATCCCTTCCTGCTTACTCAGTATGGTGCCAAACCTCAGAGACACGCTCCAGCTAGATATAGATAAGCCAGTTCTTCAGCTGTAAAAGCATATTGTGCTAGCTGAAAGCTATTGATTTCAAATACTGCCTAAGATGATAAGAAATGCCCCACTGTGTCAGAGCAGTGGCTTTTCTGTTCCAGGTTCCTGTTGCTGACACTGTCAGTACAAGATGCTGTCCGGAGAGAGCGCATGCACCTGACCGCTTTCCCCTTATAATCCACCAGCACCCAGAATTATTGTATTAGAAATATTAGGGGGTACCTCTGTGCCTGCTCCCTGTAGTAGTTGTTTATAGAGCTGTTATCCGTCTTTTAATCTACAGATCCTACAAAATAAGCTTTCTCCCTTACTACAGGTAGCTGACCAGCTGAGGATGTGCACCAACACAGAGGCTCTGATGTCAGTTGGCAGCCTAACTGTGTGTGTGTGATTAAAATACATAGTTTTTTTAAAAAGGATTCTGTTACAGGCCAGCATTCTCTTATGGTTTTAGGTACAAAGTGAGAGATGAAATGTAAACAGGCCAAGATTTTTTTCTCAGATTAGAAGGTCTTCCTTTGAAAGGCTGGCACAAACAGACTGGATTTCTGTGTGTTGAATCATCTAAACCTTGGAAGCCCAGCAACCTTCAGTCAAAATTCAGAACTCCACAAAGTACTCTGTTCCTCATTTACTAGAACTTAGACCGCTTGTGGTCCTTGCGGCAGAACTAGAAGTTTTTCTGCATCACCTCTTCCCAAGAACTGGCCTAGTTTCCTGACACCCAATGACTGTTTCCTCCCCTCCAGGGACAGCATTTATAGGCATATTCTAGTCTTCCACTCCTTGAGTATCACATAGAACTCTGACCAGTGCTGATGTTTAAGGAAAACACTACTCCTCTGCTGCTCAGAAAACTATGCCCTATTGTTTAGGAAATGTTCAGCACTGTCAGCACATGAGTAGGAAACTGGGAATCCCAAATGTAAACTCTCCTCTTCTCTGATTTGGTTCCCATTAGCACAGCCAGCAATTTTTCTAGTTGAAGGTACTGGTGGTGGAAAGGATGTAGCTTTAGTATCCAGAGGACTTCATAATTTGGATCATGCTTTTTGGCTTATGTTAACTGTTAGCAGTTTTCTTGATGGATGATTGGAGTTTTCTGTGCAATGCAAACATCCTGCACACAACAGCAAGAGCCAGGACAGCTCAAGGGCAATTTAGAAGAGAATTCCAAGAAACTGGATCCTTACTTTATGGAGTGTGACTGTTTTGTTACTGCTGTGCGGCAGCCCTGTCATAACCAAGGGAAGATTACTTAGCTTGCCTCTCCTCTCTCCCACTTCACCCTAAGCATGGTGAGGTTTGTCCCAAAGCCTATCTTCCCTCAAATAGGCATGAGCCACCATTTTGGGGTTTTGTTTTAGCTTGTGCTGTTGAGAGCATGCAAAGGGCTTTAGACTTGTTTTTGCTTATTACAAAGAAGGAAGTCTCCCAAAATGTGAAAATTCATTTCCAAAATCAAAATTTCAGTAACACTTAAATTCCTACATCACCTTAGATACTTCTGAAAAAATTTATTTGTATGTAGAGCTGCAGCCGGTTTTTAATGGATAGTGTACTTCCTCTAGTATCCTAAGTACAGCTTGCCTCCTGCAAGAACTACCAATGAGCCAGGATTTTTAAAAGACCAGGGACCTCCTGGGTGGAGATAGGATACTTTTTTAGCTTTGCTCAGGAGAGTGACTGATGGAGCTGATGGATATTTTCCATTGATTTCAGCGAAGACAAGATCAAGCTTCTTGTACTTAACATTGCTTAAGTCCACATGTGGCCTCTGTTCTTGTGCTGGAGTGGAGCAGCCTCATCGTGCCTGCCATGTGCCACGCACAGACTAATCAAGTATGAGAAAAAGTTTGAATTTTTTCAGTTTGACTTACGTACAGAAATGAAGTACTGCGTGGGTTGACATGGATGGAGAGTGCACGATGTTGAAAGACTTGTGAAGTCTCAAGAAATGAGAGCTGCATCTGTTCAGAGCTGCATTCTGTAAAGCCCCATTCCAGGCTGTCTGTCTGAAGACATTAATCTTGGAAATTTTCAAGCAAGATGGATGGAAAATGTCTTTTCTAAATAGTAACACAAAGCCATACAAGGAGTATTATGTGTATTCCTCCATCCTTTGTGAGGATGACAGTCTTGTGTTAGGCTGCATGAAGAGGAACACCTAGCCCCACCAGAATCCCACATTCTTGGCTTGCAAGTCCAAGAACATAAAGCACTGGTTTGGTCCCTATGTAGTGTTTAATAATATTGCCAGAGCAATATTTGTGCTGGCAGTGAAGACTGAAAAAAATATCTTTAAGACTTCTTAGTGTTGAAAAACATATGCCAGTTACTTTTAACCCCACAGCAAGCCTGGGGTGATCCTTGCCCTGCCGATATTTTGTTTCCATTTTCCTGCATACTCAGGAGTCATATTGTTAGATTTTCTTGCACTCGAAGAGCAAACTAAACCTGTGGAACTTCCTGCTGGCCATGGAAATTAGGAGTTTGAAAAGGTTACGAAACAAGTTAGCCAAGAATATGAATTCTAAAAATACTTTTGGCTATAGTCTCCACATGCGAAGAATTTTGAAGAACTTCTTCATTTATCAAGGCTTAGGCACTTGCTGTTGGGACTGAGGAGAAGATTCTTTCATGGGCAGATTATTCACTAACGCTTAGTATGAATTTTTCCATTGTAATAGCTAGTCCTCACCATTGTAGCTGGACCAGATAGTGCTAGCAATACCCAGTTTAACAATTCCTCTGACTTATTTTTGAGTCATAGACATTCTGGGCTGTCAAACAATTGCTTTACAGAGAAGGAAATATTGTTGGCAGAAATTGAGTTTTTAACTCTGTAGCCTTCTGATGAGTGATGGGTATCTTGTTGTTGGCAGGTAAAGTTGGACCTATTGCGCAGGAAGCATCTGTGATTCCTTCTGTTGAAAAGGAAGCAAGACACTCCTCTAACCTGCCAATGACAAGTGCTGAACCACCGTGGCTATCCCTGGCCAAGAAGAAAGCAAAAGCATGGAGTGAAATGCCTCAGATTGTACAATAGCAAATGACATGAGCATCCTTCTTTGTATTGCCAATAGCTGCGTTAACTCTGTTTAATCCCTTCTTTACTGATGTTATTTTTGAGAAATAAGAGCCTTAAAACTTTTGATCAGACTGTTGTATGTAAATACACAATTAAGAAATGCCATTGCAGGCTTCATTTGAAGTATTAGGAAGCTGAGCATTTCCTGCTACCAAATACTAGGAAAACTTGATCAATTTGTTATATTCTTACACATCTGACAGTGATGTTCTAAGAAGACATGCTTCACACTTTTGAAACATTTCCCTTGCAAAATATGTTTTTAAAATTTCCACAGACCATACAGTATTTTGTGCATGTGGCTCTGGTTAAGAAATTAACATATGCTATAAAATAGGTATAATGCTGGGCACTGACACGTCATGACTCATGGGTGTTGATGTCATCACACTTCTTTCTCTAATGCTCTGGGATGGGCAGCCTGACTTATCTTCTGATTGTTAATGGATCTGTTTTGGGATAGCTATAAGACCTAAGCAGCATCATGAGTTGGGGTAATTCTGGCTTTTGGGTGATTTGAAGTCACAACGCTGTGGGTCTTGTGTTTTCCTCATTGATGCCTGCTGGAAGGCCCAAAGCCACACACGTCTTCTCTCCCATGCACTGGAAAACCACCACACTCTAGCATATACTCTGCTTTTGGTTACACCTTTGGAAATCTGGGATAATTTGGGCATTCTACCAAAAAAAAAAAGGTCCTTTCTTATAATTATGGCAAGGAGTGATTTATTTTTTGTGAGATTCCTCAGCCAATTGTCTCTCTTAAAGAGTGTGTTGGGGATGGGAACTGTTTGCTACCTAGAAGGTGGCATCTTATTTTCAACAAATGCCACTCTACTCTCCATGTTCATGTGGATGTGTATTTAGTCAGTTGTATTTAATATTAGTGATAAAAGGGGCATTTGCTTTCCTCCTTGCCTCATGGGTCTCTAACCATAACTCAACATCAGTCTAAGAATGTGCAGCTGGGAAAGGATTATTCTCTCAGGACCTGGCCTTACAGTCACTGAAGTTGACAGAAGTTTTGATATTGACTTTGAAGGAAGCAGACATCTGAAAAAGAAGCTTTGTAAAATGATGTTAGTGGTTTAAGTGGCAGTGCCACTTACTGGTCCTTTCAGTTTTTGCAGCATTGCACATTTATGTAGGTTTTATTTACAGTCAGTGCAAAATTTGAAGGCTGACTTGGCTGATGGAGTTTTTATCTGGAAAGCTGGTAGGTATTTTTAAGGAAAATACTATCTATTGATAGGATTAACTGCAAAAAACCCAAAAAATTTGGTTTCAGATCAGCTCAAGCAAGACTTTAATCTTCCAGTCTTGATCTGAATTTGATATATAGCTCTTGCAATTTGAAAACAGTAAAACAGTATTAAATAGAAGCTAGACTTTTTTTTTTTTTTTTTTTTTAAATATAGATGAAAACTTACTTCCCCAAGTAGGCTTACTGAAGCTGTAGATACTGTTTATTTTGTACTTACACGGGAAGGAGTAAGAGTTTCACATTGGCTCAGTAATCCACGCCTATTTTACTACTTGTTTTTCTCTTTTAGAAAGCATATCTTCTCTTGCAAAGAACTGAAGCATTTGTATTTCTCTGAAACTTTTGAGTGTAATGTAAATGAACATATTCAGCTTTGATTCCTGAAGTTTTGTACAGCTGCCATCCCATCACAAGCGTACTGACCCTGTGTAAAATATGTGCATTTCTATATTCAGCAAACTCTCTTATCTTAGTGTGGATTGTAATCCTTCACTCAAAGTACTGCAAATGATACTGTAATCTCTCTTTATGTTTGCTTTTGATCTTAGTATTGTTTCTGTCTTTTATGTTTGGTATGTATATGGTTTTTTTAATCCTTGTCTTGAAGGAACCCCTTTTGTATTTCGTTCCCGTATTTGGTTTATGATTAAATGCTGTTGCCAGTGATGATGATATAATTCCTGGGAAAAGAAGAGTGATAGGTGGCCCTCCTTCATTAAGGAAAAAATAAAAAGAGGTCTTTGGTGAATATAGACTCTATATATGGATATACTGCATAGATCTTGGCTTGAGATGATTTTGTGTGGCCTAGGACTGATCGACATAGCTGGACAGACTGATGAACTTTTCTAAATCTAGCTATTTAAAACATCACCAGAGAGCTGATGGCTCTCCTTTTGTTCTGGAGTTGTTGCTCCTCCAGTACAGGGTTGGCTTGAACGCTAGCGCTTGTGGTCGCTGGAAGCCTTGCAACTGCTTGTTTGAGTGTGTATTGGTATTGCTAGCCAGCTGCCCTAAGACATTTTGGGGTTGCTTTAAAAAAGAAGACAACCACATGAGAATCATGTGATGTTACATTTGAAATTTACTTGCCTTCTGGATTTCTGAAATTAGTATTTTCAAGTTTCTGTCTGCAGGCAAGAGAACAAAAAGCATGTAGAGAAAAATCAAAACTGAATCTGATGTAATAACAAGAGTTTAGAAGATGGGGTTTTAAGATAAACCTTGAAAATCAGTGATTTATTGATGCATTTATAGAAGTTGGTAGCTCTATTAGCATGCCTTTGATTTCCTGTCGTCCTAGTGTAGTTTTTGTGTGTTGGATCAGTGGAAATAACTAATACAGTAAGCTCATTTGGGGTGATTATTTCTAGACACAATCACTGGCTTTGGAAAGAAGCTGTCTTGAAGTGCAGAGTTCGTTGCAGAATGTCACTGTGAGGCTTTATGGCTTAGGATCTTTAGCGGAGGGTGTGGAAAGCTGTCCCTGAAATGCCCTGTGCACGGTGGAGCGGCTGGGCTTTCGGCTGACTTTGGTGCTGGTGTGTGACAGCAGAGGGTGCTGGCGACATCCCTGAGGAGCGCAGGAGGGGTCTCGGTGTAACAGAAAGCGGATTTCAGTATGCATTTAGATGTGCACTCTTACAGTAAGGAGGCTGGAAGCTTTCATTAATACAGAGAATTATGCATTATTCCATTAATGCAGAGAGGTTTGAAAGAGAAGTGTATTTCTGTTTGTGATTTGAATAGAGGTTTTGGAACTATAAAGTATGGAAAAAGGCTTTGCATTATTGCTACAAGAAGCCTCTGAGAATTGATGATGACAATGGGGAAAGGTAGGTTACATGGTCAATTCAGTCCTACAGTGGGACCATGTGGGAAGATACATGAATGTGTCCAAAAAGAACATTGCAGTTCGGCATTTTAACTTTGCTGCTTAGAACAACTGCTGCCTGGCTAGAAGTTGATCTTCATCCCAGCCAGATGTAGTATCTGATGATTTTACAGAAGAGATGAGAGAGACAGACAGCAACTCGGCATGCACCTAGCTGTAGATTACGGAGATTTCTTTTGCTGTAACAATGAGCTGTAAAGACTTGGGCTAAAAGAGAACCTGTTGGGTTGTCATCCAGCTGGGAATCTACTTGTAAATAAGTGGGTTTGTGGACAAGAGGCAATGAGTTGGTTTAAATGAGGGAAAAAGTCTCCAAAATTTCCAAAGCTACACACTTCTGCTCTAGCGTGACTCTGACAACACTTTATTACAAGAATCTTGTGTATACCTCTCCTTAAATAGACCCAAAGAATAAATTCTAAAATTCTGGTGTAACTGAGGAGCCAATACTTATTTCAATTACCATACTTGGAAGGAAAGTCTTACAGTGAGGAAAAACTAACCATATTGAAAACACTAAACACTAGCCCTTTTCATGTTAGAAAGTTTGGATAGAGAGGGCCCCCCCAGCTAGTATTACATTATGTCTTTTTAAGTGCTGTAGTCTAAAATATTAAATGCAATTTGTTTTGAAGTATTACAGTAGAAGTTTTCAGCTTAGAAAAGCTATAATTCCTGAGTTTATGCCATCTGCTCTGTTAAGTGCTTGAGATCAATACAGGAAAGATACTGGCCTGTGAAGATACTTTGTCCTTTAGAACTGCTACTGGAAGGTGATACATCTGAAGGATACTGGTAATGAGGGATGTGACTAGCAGCCTAATAAAGAAGGCAAACATCTCTCTTTGTCTTTTCCTCCAGTGTGTGTTAGCCTGCCTACATTTTTGTTAGAGATTTATCCTGATTATAAGATTTGACAAACTTGTTTCATCAACCTTCACCAAAATGTTAGTAATGATGATGTGGAACCACTCATATTTGGGGAATCTGAGCATCTGTTTGGGATTCTGACCTTGATTTCTTGCTTGCTGTGATTACATTCTGTCTCTTCTATGTTGCCAGGAAGTATCACAGCCGAAGCGTCAATATCTGTTACAGGCTATTGTTGTTATGGTCTGGGTTAGCTCTTGGTGCAGAGGTTGACTGGAACATCTATTTTTCACTGAAAATGTTTTTTAATGTCTTCTATGGAAGTAGAAATAAACCGTAAATTATGAACTTGGAACACAAACCCATGCATCTGCCCAGAACAAAAACGTTACTCAGGTATTTCCAGCTGGATGGATGAAGGGGCATGGCTTGATGAAGGTGAATGACTAGGGAAGAATGACAGTTCAAGTTGAGAAACAAAAGGCTTAGAGTGGGAAGCTACAATTCAAATTACGCTTCCATAGTGCGATGTGTCTAAGCCCAAGGGAAGGTATTGAAAGGGGCCTTTAAGTAGCAAAGGTTTTTTATCCGTCTCTTCTCTCTGCACACGAGGAAGCAGAACTTTCTTTGTTCTTGTAAATGAGCAGAAATACATCAGAGATGCCCACTGCCATCCGTAGCCTTTTTTTTTTTTTTTTTTTTTTCTTGCATTTGATGCAGTCCAAACATTTCCACTCTATTTGGTCCAGGAGAGGTAACGCTTTGTTACCAGACCTCATTCGTTATTCTGAACCACATTGAGTAGGTGAGCACCTTGACTGCACTGCAAATCAAAGCATGTTGTGACCTGCTGGTCAAGTCCACAGCACTTTAAGTGGAACTGCTGTATGATCTGTGTGTTAAAAATGCAGCTTCTCAGAAGTGAGCTAA